ACAAATGTTATACTAAATAAAAAATTGTTATCCACATAGGCAACTTTGATGTTGAGCTTTTAAATCGTAATGTAATTATGGCCTAATATTGGCAACATTGCTAAGATCATAATTTCTAAACTAAATGTCAGTAATGATTTCACACTGTCTTTTTTTCTAGAATACTAGAACAATTTTACAGGCCTCTCAATTCAACTTCCTGTCCCTTTTCCCAAGAGATCACAGGCTAGCTATTTTATTTACTTTATAATGTCAAATCTCAGTAGTTCATTAGAGAATTCCAGATAGCACTTTAAACCCATGTGCATCAAATCACACATTTATGAATCCCAAGAAACATTATTCTAACATTGACTTTTTACATTTTTCAGTATTTTCTGGATGTTAATAAACTTGATGGAAATTTCCTGTTCACCTTATGGATGTCAAGACAATGTCCTTAAGCAAAATTGTGAAAGTCAGTTGTCTCACAGATTGGACAGTCAATGGCTGCTATATTTCACTGTCTTGACCCACTTAATACTGTTTTCCCATGTCAGGACACCCCAAGTATACTTGTATAGGAACATGCGTTCTGGTTTGTAACTAACATTGTGTTTCTCTTCTGTTTGGACACGGGTGTAGAGAGCGCAGTATAAACTGATTCATATTCAGGTACAAGTGAAGTGTGTGTGTTATCTTTCCCAGGGTATTCCATGTTAAGAGGATTAAAAGAAAGAAACAATGATTAACGGAAGAAAGGAGCACTTCTTAATAGAATTTCAGGATTGATATATGGATCAAAGGAAACAAATGTCTTGCTACCTCTCTGATTAATTCTTTGTATACTTATTTAAAAGGAGAGTTATGCTTTGTGAAGTAAACTTTTACTTCAGTATGAAAACGCATGCATAGATTTCTTTCCTAGTCATCTTCAGCTCTTTTAATACAGTAGGACTCTATTTTGATGGCAGATATAGTTATTCCAATGAGTAAAATCTGGAATAGCACAGATATCTGATGTGTTCAGAAGCTTTCAATAACCTGCCTGAAAATTCCCAAAGAAAAATGTCTAACACTGAAGTTTCTCTCCTTCATCCACAGCAACAGATATGCTGTGCCAAGTTATCAAGTCTGAGTCTTGAAATACCCAGTTTAGCAGTCTTTGCTGATTAAATTAGTAACAAAATTTCCACTTGAATTTCTCTGCAAGTAGATTCTGGTTTATCTAGCCTGAGAAAATGTCTAATGACTATAAGACACCAGAATTGATACTCAATTTAGATTTTTAAAAATCAGTAAAAATGAGCTTCGATCACTAAAGTATGAGTGGAATTTTCATATTTTATGTGAATGTTTTGGTTTTGTATACCCATAGCCTAAAGTTTTCATCTCTGAACTGACAATTTTCTGATTTCTTAGTTCTTAATGGCCCAAGATAAGTCAACCAAAGAACTGTGTTGAAACTAAAGTTAAAAGCTATTTATAAGCTAAAGTAGCTGTTCATTTCTCTTCCAATGTTCCATCTCATCACCCCTCTTGTCCACTGTTCTTCATCTTTCCCCAGCATTTCCTTTCTAGAAAGGTTTTTATGCAATGACCTAGATAACACTTTCTGTCTTTAAAATGTAAGACTACTATTGTATGAGGTAAACTAGGACTCTATTGATCAATGAACCTAAGCAAATATTTCAATATTTATGGCCAGAGCATGCTTTTGATGGTAAAACTAGAAAAGCTTTGCAATTGATAAATATGTTTATTGTCAAGTAAAAATTGTGAAAACATATACATTCTGACAAATCTTATTATGGAGTTTTACAGAACATGTTGGAATGATATGACAAAATTCTGACTTTTCCCAATGTCACTGGTCTATATTAAAGAATAAGTTTTTATCATTTCTAGCTCACAGTAGATTCAGATAAGGTAACATGTGTCTCTCAATTCAGCTCTCTCAGTCTTTCTTAGCATACTCTAAGCAATAGTGCATGGTCATACTTTACATAAATATCAGGAAACTGTCAAGGGCTGTCTTGAAAGTCCTAAATAAGCACCTGCAGATAGTTGCTGCTTCTCCTTTTCAGCCTTATAAGGCTAAAGAACCATTTTAAATGTCAGAATTGCATGCCATCTTACTAAACATAGCAATGATTTACAAAATAAGTGTTGGAAGCTCCAGATATTGCAAAGCAGAATGTGTCTATGACTTGGATATTTAAGTTATAGTTTCCTTTGAGAAAAACCCATGGAAGGCAAAACAAAAGGAAATCAACAATGACAAAAAAAAAGGAAAACTAGCACAAAAGTTGTCAAAATATCATGCTTAGTGAGATGGGTACTCTATATTAGGTACATGTATGAGTGGATTGATGGATGAATGGGTGGATGGATGGATGGATGGATGACTGTGATTGGGTGATTAACCGAAAGCCAGTCCTTTAAAAGGCACAGAAATTAAACTCTGAAGAACTATTTCAAACTGGAAAAAGTTTAGGAAAGTGTGAGTTACAAAGTTTTGCTAGTCACTGTTTAGGACCCACTCCTGTTTTTTTGCGGCTATCTTTTAACATGGATTTTAAGAATAAATTGACCCTTGAAGATAGTGGACAAGTTTTTTATTTAGCTAAAAGAAATATTTGATTTGTCTTTGTTCCCCTTCATTTGCTTTTCTGCAGCTCCCCTCCAGCAAGGCCTTCACTGCAAACATCTTTAGCTCCAGTGTGCCTAATCCACCCTAGACACGTGGTGCTCCAATCTGTTGCTTGCTGCCTGCTTCTTTGGACCTTCCTTGCAACCCGAAAAATTTATCTTCACTTGGTGCTGATTTCCTGGATAAATTTTTCAAGAACAAACGAAAGTTTTTCCCCAAGAGGCAGAAAGAGTGCCGGAAATGGAGAGTAGGCTCTAGTGTCTGATGGAGTAAAGCTGAACGGGGGAATGAGGAGCATCTACTGGAACAGAAGTAACTCTCGGTAACCCTGAAGCACAGAGAATTCACTTTTACCGAAACAGACCGTTCCAGTTCCATTTATCACCAAAGACCGGAGTTCTTTGACAAGAGTAGAATGAACTTTCAAACACGGAAACAGGCTCCAGTGAGGAGCATGCCGGAAGCCCTGGGACTCCCTAGGGTGGATGCGGAGGGCCCTCTACGCAGCACCAAATAACATGTCACGTGCGCTTCAGCCAGCTGGAGCGGTACACTCCAGGAGACTAAACAAGCAGCCCGCGGGCTTGGAACCGCACCTGCTGGGGCTCCACCGCCCGATCTCAGGCGCCTGGACCCCTTAACCCAGTGGAGGAGGCTAGCCAACCAGTCACCCCCGGTTTCTTGAATGTCTAAACCCGCTTCACAGGCCCTAGCTGTGAAGCTGCTCAATGGTGAAGCCCTCGGCCATCCTTAGACCTGAGTAAGCAGGAGCAATTCTAGTCGATGAGGAGGATGGTTTGAGACAGCCCGGTAGGTACACCTGGGAGCGACCAGGATGACTTTGAGGGCTGGTGAGTGGGCTGTGCTATCTCCTGGTGGCATTTCTGCTCTCCCAGGGTGTCTTAGAACCCCTGTTGTGGTTTGCATTCGGGCGGAGTAAGACCTGCTGGAAGAGAGCTGGATCTACTGAGAATACACCGCGCAGACCGCAAAAATCACTCCAGTCCGGGACACAGCCCCAAATCACCTCACAGCTTAGCCGCCCAGGAGTAGTGAGGGGAAGGCTAGGCGCTTGCGATGGTCTGGAAACCGACATGGAGTGGAAGGAAAGGAGAAATGAGAAAGGAGGAAGAGAAAGAACTCACAAAGAAATTTTAAAACTTTTTTTTTTTTTAAGTTCTGCTCAATTTACAACCATTCTCAAGTTCCTCTGTGATTCTTTCTCCTAACTGCCCTTGGGGACAAAGCCTAGCAAGGTGTTGTGAAGGTCCCAACGTGCACCAAATGTTGATACCCAGCACAGGAGTTAGTCTCAGCACTCTGTCAGGTCTCCCTCTCTAACCTTGTCCAGTTTTCTAGATCTTGGTGCCCTCTTGCAAGCAAGACTCTGTACTCTCCCAATATGTATCTATGTATATACTCTACACGAATATGTGTAGACAGTGTGCATATGCCCATATGAAATATGCATCTAAACTTGCACGTATGAATATACACATATAATATGGGATTGGTGTGGTCGGAGAATGGAAGTACTTGAAATCTGATGTTTCCAAAAACTCACCTCAGCTATGCATAAGGGAAAAGAGATACACTTTGATATTTCATGAACAAAAAAATGTCAGCCTTGTTCATAAATAGAAATTTTACCAGGAGAAAGACCTTTGCTTCTTTTTCTTGTTTTCCTCCAGCTATGGCTAGAAGTTGGTCTTTCCAGCCAGGGCATTCTAGAAACAAGGTGCCTGTCTGAGCATCAACCTCTGGGTAACCTCCACCTCAGAAAGCATCAAGTCAGATGTCCAAGAGAGCGGTGGGTGTGCACACACCGCCTATGCATCTCCACCCCACCTACCTATTTCCAGGGTTAGCTGAGTTCCAGAAGCTGATGCCCCCAGTGACCCAAAGGAATGTTGACTGTCCCTCCGGAGTCTCCTCCACCCACCTAGAACAGGTTTTGAAGGAGAGCAAGCAACTTACTTAACATATTGGCTTCGTGGGAGCCATTGACTTTGCCATCCGGATAGATCTGCAGATGGAAGCCTATGCCCACTCTGCAGTAGAGGCTGCCGGTCCGGCGCCCCGAAGGGCTCCACTGGAAACTGCTCTGCTCCAAGCCGCTTCCTTGGCTGCCGGGAGAAGCCGCGGGAGAAGAGGAGGCAGAAGACGTCGTGCTACTCCTGCCCCGGCTGCTGCTGGAGTCTCCCTGGTTCCTATCAGTGGCGGAGGGTCCGAGCTGCCCTTTGGGAGTGAGACGCTTCTCCCCGTGAGCCCAAGCGCTGAGGATCAGGTGGCTGAAGAAGAGGAGGAAGAGGAAGGACAAGCTCATTCTTCCAGCCGCGGGGGTCCTAAGTGCATCTTGTAGGGCTGGCACTGGGCTCCGTAGCCCCCACGCGGCTGCGTGCCTCTGGCGCTGCCCCCCTCGCCGCGCTGGGTGGACATAGCCTCGGGGAAGAGAGAGGGAGAGGGGGAGAGAGAGGCCACCCGAGCGGATCTCGGCGCTGGCACCGGGATATTTATAACGCCAGTGATCTCACTGCTCCGAGCACGCCTGCGAAGCTTCCCCTCATCCGCGGCTTTGTGTACTCACTGGCCGATGCCGGGAGGGAGTCTCCAGGTCCCAGGGGCGGGGGTGTGAAGGAGGGAGGAGAAGCGATCCCGAGTGTGGGAGGAGGTGCCCGGCCGCGAAGCTGCACCCAGGACGCTGGGTGCGCCCACGCCTGGGCCACGCACCCCAGCGGTTAGATCTCAAGAGTCGCACGGCCACCGCCACCCCCAGCCTGAGACCGGGCGGGGGAATTAGCTCCCCGCAAGCCATTGAGCGCCCCAAGGACAAGGTCGCAAAGGGGAGGTCGAAACCTGCTGATGGAGTCTAGTCCTCTCCCACCTCTTTGACCACTTGTGTCCCGGCAACTCATTTTCAAGTTCCTCTCCCTTCGCTAGGAGACCTTGCCAGCTGAGTGCTTTCAGGGGGAACCGAACAGGGATTGGCAGCCCAACTTGGGAAGGCTTTGGGGTGACCCAGAGAGTGGAGAAGGCTGGTTTGCTGCTTGTTTTTGACTTATTAAAGAGCTAAAGAGTCGGTTTATTTTTCCTTTAGAAAGCCACCCAGAATCATTGTTAGAACTCAGCTGCCCTTCTATTGGCAACTGTCCTGACGCACTCTGTCCAGCTTTTTCTACTGGGAAGCTCTGTGTCTGTGTTGGGACAGGTGAGTGCCTGCAGGAGTATACACACACACACACACACACACACACACACACACCACTTGGACAAAAGCACTGGAGAATCTGGACACCTGCACACGTGACTGATGGCCCAGTTGTCCTCTCTGGCCCTTGGCAGGAAGGATTAGCTAACAACTTGCTTCAGCTGCAATGGACTGAAGTATAGATCCCAATGAAGGATTAATGACAGGCACACTAAATTTCAACCTCTGAAACCTGAGAAGGGAGAATTTCCCTGTACTAAATGCCTTGACTGTTATTTATCTGAGAAATATACCTGGTTTGCATTCTTGGAATATTTCTGTCTGAAAACATATCTGAAGCTTTAAATTAAGCTATGATATATTACTCATTGGTCATTTTAATGAAAAGTCAGTAATACCAATGGATAAGGTCAATTCACATAAGCTAAGCTTGATGCTAAGCTATGGCTTTATCCATTATTGAGTATTTGCTTAAGATTGTCTATCTCAATAATGAAATGCTATAAAACAGATGTAGGTTTTTTTCAGGATTGCAAATTTTCCATGGACAGAATATCAAATATCAAAATAGTTGTACAACAGATAGTCACCTAGACAGCACAGTGAACCACTGTGGGGAGAAAAGGGAACACTCCCCCAACCACCCACACACACAGAGTGTATATCATGAACACTCCCTGGCTTAATTAAGGTCCAAAGAGAGAGTCTCACAAGGCAATCCTGAAAGCAGACATTGAGAACAATCCCAAGTTCCACAGAAAGGTCCTTTAAGCGGAGTCACCCCTTTTCAAGGTGAATGATTGTAGGATGCTGAGCTAGGGTGCTACACCTTCTGAAGCTGAAGTCCTTGATCTGCTACAAAACTGTCAGAGCTCAAGACAGGTTGGTGCTTCTGGGTGCCATCAGGGAAATGCCAAAAGCAAATGCTTGATTTTCTGCCTTCTTCATCCCAAGGGGTCTGTGGAAGAAGCAGTAGAGTAACTTCTTCCTCAGGTCCTGGTCAGCCCCTTTGCAAAAAGGTGAGGGACAGAGAGGATTCTGGGGTTGGGTTTCTAGAACTGAGATTTGACCTCTTGTCTTTATTCTTTAAGCCCTGCCTGCAAAGGTGACAGTAGTCTTTGTATTACTATGGTCCCTGGCAAGATCAAGTTGAGGAAAAAATCCTTATCTAAGGATGACCTAGGAGGGTTAAACCACCTGATCAGGCTTTTAGTCTGTGTCAGTTTGGTAGATGGCAAGATAGATACACTTTTTCTGGTGTCAAAGGGCATAGGGGGTGTTCACTAAGAGGCGAGAAGCCCCAGGTGTTGTGGGCAGTGACTAAAATTAGCAAATGAACCTAAATCAACTCTCTTTCTTAATAGTGGAGAAAATATGCACTGGCCGTTTAAAACTGGATCCTCATTCGTGCACATAAGCAGAAAGAGAGATTGCCACTAAACATTTAATATTTCTTTTTTAAAAGGGTGTCAAACTTGCATTGAGCTCAAAAACTGAACAGAGAAACTGAGAGAACAGCAGCAGGCATGTCACCTATTTGTGAGCTGAGTGACCAAACCAACCCTCCTTCCTCCACAGCTCGGCTAACTCCACACTCACATGCTGAATCTGCCTCACATCCTTTCTCATACATAAGTAGCTGGTCTGGTGGCCAAACCTGGGCTCACAACAAATCCACTGTTGGGGAAAAACACTCTCATCTCATTGTCTTGGGCACCTTGGGTTTATTCCTATAAAGTCTACTTCACATTTTCTCCCTTGACTGTCTGAAAATCTCCTGCCAGGATATTACCATAGTTGTTGCCCATAGCTACTGTGTGTAGCTTGGTCTCCATCCCATTAAGTTGACCTTCTCTCCAGGCTTGCTAGCTGTTAAGTTTACCAGCTTAGGCTCCACAGTCCATAGCCCCACTACCTCAGACTTCCTTTTTCTTGACCCCAGCATATGAGCTGAAAGAATTCCACAACTCTCGTAGTTCCCTGAGGAAAATATGGTTGTCAGTTACCTTTGCCTCTTTTGCAGCTACATCAGTGATCCAATTTCCAGAAATTGGAATCAATTTAAAGAAAGATACAATACCCTATCCTTAGCCCGGACCTCAAAAGTCTGAGAAGAGAGAAGTTTGGGTGAAATAGTTGGCACCCAAGTTTCCTTTCACCCAAGGGTCAGGCTTACTATTTATGACCTTCCTCTGGTTGTAAGCCAAGGCCCACCCTTGCTGAGGCAAGGCTCTAAAGGCATACTTCCCATAGTGCACCATGCAGAGCTAGGAAGAACAGAGAGGTAGACAGTGGGTTAGCACAAGCTAGTCCTGGAGGCCTTTCCACCCTGAAGCAGGATCCAGGGCCAGTGGACCTTGCACAGGCTTCTATTCCAAAGCTTCAATCAGGCCAAACCTCTGCTCCTGGACATCCAAGCACTCAGTGAGGTAAGGCTTGTTGGTTTGGGGTTCAGTTACTCCTAAAGTTGGAAGGCAAAGCCTCTATTTGATCCAATCAAGTAAGAATATACTTCTTTACAAGGTGTGCTGACTCTGATTTTTCAAAGGCTTCGGTGGTCCTAATTCTGCCACCTTTCTGTACTTAAAGAGGTCATGTCCACATAACAATACACATCATTTTTTTCTAAACAGATTTCTGGGGTTTCCACGATGGTGTCGCCTCTCAAACAAGTTTTAACAAAGGCTGCTGCGAACTGAATGCTTATGCCACCTCAAAGCTCATGTTGAAATCCTAACCTTCAGTGTAATGTTATTTGGAGATGGAACTTTGGAAAGTAATTAGACAATGGGGATGGAATTCTCATGATGGAAATCATGAAGAGAACCCTCTTGAGGGCCTGACCATCTTGGTACTTTGATCTTGGACTTCCTAGACTCCAGAACTGTGCTACACAGATGTGTTGTTTAAGTCACCCAGTCTCAGGTATTCTTGTTATAACAGCCAAAGACAGAAAGCATAGAGTTGCCTTGCAGAAGGAGTTAGGAGCTGACCTGCGGGCCCTTCAGTCCATACTCTTGCCAGGACCCTCTGTTCCCTCCAGGCCTGGCTTCCCACCAGCCAAGTTGGCAGCAACTACAGTAGCAAAATTGCCTGTGGCTACAGGAGCAGGCTGAACAGGTTGAGAAGGTTGGGAAGGGCCGGGTATGTGAGAAGCAAACCAACTAAGAGGGACATAAGAGGGTTAGATCTCTTCCCTTGTCTTCAGAGTCCATGGGTTTCCTCTGTGGAGAGGAGCCAGTAGGAGGTGGTCATTGGTCATGCCACCAGCTCTCACCCCAAACAGAGCCCACTGCAAGCCTGTACAAGTTCCAGTGGTAGCAGCAGTGTGTGATAGATTGTGCTACCAGCAAAGTCTATTTCTAATAATGTCAAAGAGGGTAGTGTCAGCCTATAGGGAGAGTATAGTATTTCCAGTCTCAACAATTCCTCGTTTGCAGGCAGTGCAGTGGGTGGGAAGTCAGAGACGTTTCTCATCTGTGAAGGAGAAGGAAGAGAGATCTGCTCTTCAAATAGATCTAGCATTCTGGGTGTTTGATTTGTATCCAGAGAGGCAGGCCATGAGCAAATGGGCATGTATTCAGGAAAATTAGGGGCAGAGGATAGAAAGAAAAGTATAGTTTCCTGTTGTGTTCCTCTTCCTATGTCAAATGGGAAAAGTAGAAGTGTAGCCCATAAACTGACAGGCATCTGGTGGACTCACCAACCCACCCAAAGGCCATTCTTTCAGAAAGAAACATTGTAGAAAAATACTCGTTGCATATGTTTTTCTTGGAAATGGAAAAGGTGATTTTGGCATAGCCAAAAAGTTGCTAAAGAATAAAAAGAAAAGAAAAGTGTTCGTATAATAGCTTAGAAAGAGAATTATTTGAACAGTCCTTTTGGTTTTTACCAACTTGTTTTTTTTTCTTAATTGCAAAATAGCTTTAAAAAACTGAGACTGTTCATTTATAGTAGTATAAAAATGATTGACAATCATAGTATATGACAGCTGGAATTAACTGTTCCCTCTCCTCTCACATGCAAACATACACAAAAAGAAATCTGAAATGAAGCATACAGCCTAACCCATGTCAACCATTTTGATTATTGTGAGTATATATGCACAATCTGAAAATCATGTTCATAAAGCCCACGACTACTTCTGATATATTCATTTTCCATTCCAGTAGCTGACTAAGATCAGATCAGTGAGTGGATCGCAGCCTAGCTTCCTAGCCTAGCTGCAGGGCTAAGAGAAGGAGAGGGAGAGAAAAATGGGGGGGGGGTCAGGCGTTATGGGCCAAGTAGTATGCAAAGCATACCTGCAGTATCAGCTTCTCAGGAAGGAGGTGGATCACATGAGCCCACGAGTTGGAGACCAGCCTGGGCAACATGGAAAAACCCCATCTCAGGAAGATAAG